TCTCTTTTGATTTCATCTCACGTTCTACGGCCTTCGAAAGTTTCAGTGGGGGGTGGGCCTAATTGTTTTGAAATTTTTCATTTTCTGAAATATTAAATGCTTAAATCTGAGAAGGTGTCGAGCAAAGAAACAAGTTATGAAGACCTCCTTTTTCTCAAGCGGCTATTCCCTAAATTTGATCGAAAAAAGTTATGGTCTCTAACAAACCCATTTTTTGACATTTTTGTTATTTTTCAAATTTTTTCGAGTTTTCTTAATAACTACCCTGCCAATTCGGAGATTAAATGTTTAACCGAAAAAAAGTCAGTTATACGATTTTTAAGTGCACCAATGACTATGCCTTGCCTTTTGAAAAAAAAAATGCCCAAAAAAGTTTTCCCGTTTTTTGGATAGTGATTTTTTTTTCGCAAAAACTAACCTGTTGATTCCGAAGTTGGTAGTTCATTAAAACTAATACGGTGATTAGATTTAACCTATGTTATGTCTTTTTACCCGATTATTTTTAGTTGCAAAGCTGATATGGATTTCTATTAAATTTCTTACCGTGTTTTTTGTTTAGAATTTTCGTCACTATTCTTGAAAAATACTTCTAATTATGATATTGAGGGTTTAATCTCAAAAAATTAGGCGCGGAAGTCTTCAATCTAAAAATCAAGGCGTGGAAATCAGAGGCTTTTTTATGCTTTAGAAAAGTTTATGCATTTGGAAGAAAAAAAGATGAATTTTTGATCGATTTTTGGAATCATTTTCACTTTGTTTTCGAACTAGCCAGCCAACTTTTCGAACTAGCCATCTGAGACGAAGACCTCGATTGAAAGAGCGAGTAGCAGTTGTCTTTTTAAATGAGCGGTTAATCTCCTACTTAAGCAGAGAGAAGCACTAGAGTTTAGCGTAAAAACCCCTGATTGAGTTTTTGAAAGTTTCTGTATCAGTACAAAATGATTGAAAATATTGGAACATGTAGATTTAGTAATAGCTTGACCACTTGCGTACTTCCAAGTGATCGTGGCGCAAATACGAGGACATGAGACTCCTAAGCAACATGTCGGATATTCAAATCAGGAACAATTAAGTAGTTATATTTTTTGGTCGAGTTTTTGCTACATTTTATGGACCAATGGATAGAACTTGTAGCTGCTTTATTGGTGAATAGCCTAAGTAAAATTACAAGCGGGCGTGAAGCAAATGTGAGAACGTGATATTCCTGATCACAACAAAATTTTTAATTAAAGAGTATTTTTAATCTTTTCTTTTTGCCTGTTTAGAGCTCTTTTTGCATTTTCCTCGCTTGTTTTTAGCGAAGTGCAGCTTCGCTTGTACGTCAAATTTAGTATTCTTTCAATTTGATCCAAATATTTTCTCAGATAAAAATCATAGTCTCCCGCTCAGTTTTAATTTAAACTGCTTGATTTTTGATTTTCTCTTAAATCTTTTTAATGCAATTGCTTATTAGAAAAGAAAAGTAGAATTGAGAAGTTAAATTGCGCTTGCGAATTGGAAAGTATAATTGGCGCAAATTTTTGTGTGACTTTCTATTTCAAAATTTTTTTCAAAAGTGGAATTGACTTTTCAAATTTGCCCATTGGGTGAAAAAGTTTCACATTTTAATCCGGTTTTGTCAAGGTATAATGTATTCGCTAAAAATCTTAAAACAATTAATCTTAAATTAGGACCGTCGAAGTTTTTGTTTCAACCACCTATGGGTACGAAGGGGTGATATATAACAATAGGTGGCAGGCTTATGCTAAATAGCCAGAGAGCTTTTTGTTATACTTGGAATAAAAATTTAGAAGTGTAAATATTGAATTTTTGCATAACATTTCATCTGGCAGTGGAATGTGTTTACAAAAAGTAGCTTATTAGCATGTACAATTGATGGAAATTGACATGACTATATTATGCATTATAGTTGTCAGTTTTCATACCTGCTTGATGCTCAAATTTACCACCTATTGTAACATATCGCCTAGGAAGGAACTATGGCGTAGGGTACATTTCTTCGTCTGCTTATTTTGACAACCTCCAAGACCGCTGGTAGGGCTGAAATGTGTCATCGTGTTCAAGCCCTTTCAGCTGTTGTTTGGCTTCAATAAATTTTATAAAAAGTTGCCTCAGTGTCGAGATAAATTAGTCGCACTTATAGCAATTTTCAGACCACATGTCACAAAATTTATTGTAGTTTATGGTATTACTGAAGTTTAAACTTGATTTACGTCTCTCGTTCTGCCGTTTTTACCTAATTTAGTCGCTCTTTGCTGAATAACTTCAACATGAAATTAAGAAAAATAGAAAATTTAAACCAGATGGTGGTCGGAACCTTTAGCGGTTTTTGCTCAGCAACCCGCTATCCTTGTTATTATTTTAATTAAGAGTTATAATTTTCAATTATGCACGTTCGATTTCCCTATTTAGAACGTTCTAAGGTCTAGTTTGATATCGTGCTTTCGAGTTAAATACGTACTCGATTTAAATGGTTGCTTGCAAGTGTTTTATGAGCAGCCTTGATGGAATTGGTGCTAACAGTGCGTGTGTTGAGCAACAATTCTTCCGTTTAATATTTTTCATTGAAAGTCTCATTAGCTGAGTTGATTTTTTTGGTTGATTTGGACTGCAGAACTTTCAGTCCAGCGTATTTCAAGGTGCAGGCGTGTCAGGTTTGCGAGAAAAAAGAATTCGAAAATAGTTTTTAGTTTCGTTTGCTTCAACTATGGCGTAGGCTACTTTTTTTCGTCAATCTATTTTGTCTACCTTTAAGAAAACTCTTGGGGGTCCTAATCTCAGCTTTTTATTTGCATGTTGTTGCCTAGTTTTATTATCCGAGCCCCACAAACTTTCCTCGAAATTAGAAGAGACTCTAATCTAGAATGGGGTGTTTTTCACGCGAACTCACGTAATTCAAAGAACGCTCATGAGCCATGTATTGTCGTATCACGTAAGCGTTTTTTCATTCGTGATTTATCATCATCATCAGTTGTTTAACTCCATCTTTTTGTACTCGACTGCATGTGTGATTTTCTTTTCTCCCCACTAATATTCTTATTTCTGTTTTTCTGATTTTCAGATCTGCGCGGCCATTTGTTTTTCGAATATTTGTTGAGTTGATTTTCGTACAAAGAAAGACCTTAGGCATTTAATCGTGCTGACTTTTTTCTGAAGGACTTGTAGACATTGATTTCAATGCAAATAGCTTATGTGGCGATTTGTGGTATTTCGAATTTTTTGAGGACTAAACGCAGAGAAATGCAATAAACCTTAGACGGCTATTCAGTTTTCAAAATAAAATTAAAAAATAAATTTCAAAGGGTCTTGAACAACTACTCGGATCAAAAGCAAATTCGATTTTCCGGGTGAGATCAATTATTACACTAGCCAGCGGCGTTGTTTTTTTTTTGATGAATCTTCTTTTTTTCTAGCCTAATTCGCAAATAAAGTTGTTCACTTATGTGATGACCCTTTTGCCATAATCATGATCTGCAGGATTGGAAATTTCATAGCATCCCTGCTTTATTTGTGGCTAACGTCTGTGAATTATTAAGAGTCCGTGGCTGAGTGGTTAGTGCGCTAGAATCAAAATCTCTAGTTCGCAGGTCGAATCCGAGACATAGCCGAGTTTTTGCTAATTCGAGGCTTCTTTCTACTTTTTCTTATTGCTTTAAAGAGCTGCTTTTGCCGTGTTCTAGCTACTCTTTGCGGAGTTTTGCCTCTGTGTGAATAACTCGTATGCAAGAGATGAATGCAAACTGAGATTAACTGAAAATAAACAAAAAATCAAAAGAGATCTTATCTTGAGCGACAACCTTATTCTAATTTCAGAAGCGGGTAACAGCAAACGAGAACGGCGAATAATAATTACAATTGGTTGCAAACGCAGACCTAATAAAAGTCAGTAGAATATCAGAAAAATCTTAGGCGAAGTTTTTTTTATCTCAGCAGAATATAAACGCTAGCAAAAGAGAGGTGCATACCAATAAGTTTAAATCAATAGCAATCACAACTAGATAGATAGAGGTCTGTGTTCGAGGGCATTTAAATAATCGCGATTGTCAAAATTAAGAACTCGCCCAGTATCTTATTCCATCGCGCTATCGAATAGGCTAAAGTCTTCGTGTTGTTTAGGCAGCTCGAATTGCCTGTCGAATATTGGCGTGGCGAAAGGCCTGTCAATCGTTTTGTCGATTGAGCGCCCTTTTAATGGCAGAGCGCGAAGGCAAAGCCAGGTGGCCGGTTTTCTCATCTGACAGTCTGAAGAGGCAAATTGCAATAATGCAGCTGATGACTGGAACCTGCTGAGTTTTGGTACATTTGTTGCACTATGATTCTGTCGTCTGACCGGCGAGGGAACTCGTGACTGTCGTCATTTCGTGAAGATACCTGATTTTCTACCCGAGTCACCTTGCATTTGTGAGAGTGCCAACGTGAGCACTTCCAATAGTCGTTGCCATTCTCTGTTTCTTGCTTTTTCGTGATTTCGTGTCCCTCCATGATAAGCGTTTTGCGATTTCGCTGTGCTAATTCGCATGTAATTTGGCGCATTGTGTATAGTTTGCAATAAATAAAATGGTTAAATGATTCGATTCTTGTGTTCGTTTCTATTCTAGATGCTGTTATTCAGGTTTAAAACCTGCTAGTTGTGTTAATTGCTACTTTGTCGGTCAAATGTTTTAATTTTTGTTGACCGAGACAAACTTTGAGTCTACATGGTATGATTTAACAATTCTATACATGCACCTTACACCTAGTGTGATAAAGGATAAAACTTAATTGTGGGGTAATTTGGCATAGGCCTAAGTTGAATTGCTATATAGGATAGAATGTTTTAGGGTGAAATGGCATAGTGTAGATAGGAATAGGGTAAATTGTCCTGCGACCGATGGAATACACTAAATACTCGATGGCACAGAATTCGAACTATAGTACAGAATTCGTACTGGAATTCTTTAAATCAGCTTGAAATAAAGGAGCTGTGGGCCGTTTGTAACACTCATTCAATATTAGCCTAATTGTTGTGATAAACTTATTAAATAGAGAAGTGAAAATGGAATCACATGATGAAACCGCGACTAATCCACCCACTCTTAGATTCCAAGACCAAACGCCAATTGCTAAGCCCGACAACAAAAGGACATGTGCTGCTCTCAGCCCACCAGACGAAGAACCCGTATTAGAAAAACTAGAAGCAACCATTGAAAAGGCAATTGAAAACAAAATTCCAGATATTGTAAAAATGTTGACTGAGGATCTAAAAGGGACAATTCGACAAGTGATTAATGAGCTTCTGACTGCAACAAAAAATGAAATTCTTGGGAAAGTACGAAAAGAACTAAAAAATAGTGAAACGGTTACTCTCGTGAAAGCCATGTGCGAAGACGAACAGCTAGAGAATTACAATAGGCGAGATAATTTGAAGATATTCGGATTTCCAGAGCAAGTACAGAGAGATTCGAATGGTAACAGCATTTTTGAAAATTATGACAAGACCATCAACAATGTTATCCAATTGGCAACAAACATTGGGGCAAATGTTACTCCTGCTGATATTTCAATAGCACATCGGTTGCCAACTCGGACAAACAACACAAACCGACCAATTATTGTACGTTTCTCGAGAAGGGTGGCGAAAATAAATATTCTGCGAAAAAAGAAGACACTCAAAGACAATGAACAGAGTGCCCAAATTCACGTGTTTGAAGATCTGACTAGTGCAAGGGTTAATTTTATGAAATTCTTGAAACAGGATAACCGTATTAATGGAGTTTGGACCAGGGACGGGAATCTGCTCTATCAGTGGAAGAACAGCGAAAGAGTTGGAAAAATAACTAGCCTTTATGAAGGAGTGGCGCAGTTGGGATATACTGTAAATGATTTAATGAATTGCTTTGTAAATAAAAGTGATATTTTTAAGGAAGAGTCTGGCTCCAGTGGAACCTGAAAACTCCAAGTGCGATGTAATTACTAATTTTACTGTCTTGTTGTGTAATACTAGATCGATTAAAAAACATAGTGAAGAACTGGAAGCACTAGTTAAAAGTCTCGAGTCTCCAAAAGTCATTTTTACTACAGAAACATGGCTAAGTGAGGAAGATAACAAAGAGCTTTTTACAATGAAAAATTACACGTCCTTTGCTTGTAATAGGCAAATGAATAGAGGTGGTGGGTCGATGATCCAAATTAGAAATAATATTAGTTACATCCAAGAGATAAAATGTAGCTTACCAGAAACTAAGGCAATATTAGTGAAATATGCGAATGTAAAAATCATTTTGGTTGTTACCTATTTAAAGCCACGTTCCGATAAAGGATTATTCATCGAAAAATTAGATGAGTTTCTTGAAGAACTGTCAAACCACAATGGCCCTATAATTTTTGGCGGTGATTTTAATATTGATATCTTACAACAAAGTAACCTTGTAAATAACTATCTAAATACTATAGCAGCAAATGGCTTCATTCTCACAAGTCATACCCCAACACGAATAACAGCTGAATCAAACACGTGTATCGACCATTTCTTTGTAAAAAATATTCCGGAATATGAAGTAAAAATTTTGGAAGAGCACGCGTTTACCGATCATTGCCCAATTTTTGCTAAATTTCAGAATAGCTCGTAAACAGGATACAACGAAAATATTTCGGGATTTAAAATTCCTTAACGATGAAGTTAAAATCCTTAGTTTCCAAAATTCCCTTAAAGTAAAACTAGATGGAGCACAACTTTTAGTTGATCAAAATATGAATTCCTCGTACGAATCTTTCCAAAATTGCTTTAACAAAACGATTGATGAATATGCACCTGTACGCATATGCACTGCAAAAGATTGCTCTTCGGCAGGGTGGGTCAGCAAAGAAATAAAAAAGGCAATAAGTTCCAGGAACAGAATGTATAAGGAATGGAAATGTAACAAAACAAATAAGACCAAGCGCGAAAAATTCCTCGCCGAGAGGAGTAAAGTAGAAAAATTAGCTAAGCTAAGCAAAAGAAATTACTATCACAATAGGTTCAATAATTGCATTGGAGACTCGAGACAGGTTTTTAAAATATTAAATGAAATATTAGGAAAATGTCCAAGGAGTGGAAACGTTCCTCTTCTTAAAGATGGAGATTTAGAAATAGATAATAATCAGGAGATCGCCAACCACTTGAATGATCACTTCGCTAACATTGCGTCAAAACTTCTGGCATCATTACCAAGTGATAGCAGAGAGTCTCATGAGACTTATTCAAAATATAATGCACCACAGTCAATGTTCTTACACAAAGTAACAATGTTCGAAGTCCTGGAAATAATAGAGAATCTAAAAGCGAAACAATCTACGGGAGTAGATGAAATAAGCAATATTATCATTAAGAAAGTTTCTCATGTAATTGCGCCATATTTAACTTATTTGATAAACCTGTCATTCGAATCCGGCCAATATCCCGAACAACTCAAGAGCGCCAAAATCCAGCCCTTCTATAAAGAAGGTAGTAAAACAGATGAAAATAACTACAGGCCCATTTCCTTACTGAATTGTTGCAGTAAAATCTTTGAAAAATTAATGCATAATCGCCTATACAACTATTTGAACAAGTTCAACCTTTTATATGAAAAACAATTTGGATTTAGACAGAAATACAATACTATCGATGCATTAGTTGAGTTAACAGAAAAACTTAGGTACGGTGGTAAGTCAATGAAATTCAGTATGTTCCTAGATCTTAAGAAAGCCTTTGATACATTGGATCATGAACTACTTTTACAAAAATTAGAAAACTACGGAATAAGAGGATTGTGTAATGATTGGTTTCGAAATTATCTCTACAATCGTAGGCAATGTGTGTTCACAAACTCCGTTTACTCTGATTGGAAGAATGTTTCGCATGGAGTTCCGCAAGGTTCCGTGATCGGTCCGTTATTGTTTTTAATATATATTAATGATATGCCCAATTGCGTAAAAGACACAACCGTTTACCTATTTGCAGATGATACCAATGTCACTTGCGAAAACGAATCTTTCGAGGTCTTCACCAACGACATACAAAATATATGTTACTGGCTAAATAGAAATAAGCGAACACTTAATGGAGATAAATCAATATTACTAAGTTTCCAGAATAAAGTAAGTGCTTCCAGTCTTCAGTTGTGCATTAACAATTATATGGTTACTTCTAAGGCGTATTGCAAATATCTAGGTGTTTTTGTGGATTCAAAACTGTCATTTTGTACGCACGTTGAAAAAGTAAAATCGAAACTAGGAAGGCATTGTGGAGTTATTGCTCAAATGAGAAAATTTGTACCGATAGATGTGCTAATAAAATATTATTGTTACAACATCAAACCCATTATACAATATGGATTACTGGTATATGGGGGAACGAGCTTCTCGAATCTCAATCCAATTTTCCTTTTGCAGAAAAAAATAATTCGAATGATTTACAAAGTAAGGAAATTTGATAGTATTAGGGAAAGGTTTAGAGAACACAAAATTTTAACAGTTCATGAGCTGTATGTGTACGATCTTCTCAAATTTTGCTTAAGATCAATAAACAAGTTGAATACAACCGCATTTCTTAACGATTTTTTTACTCTGAAAACAAAATCGGCTTATTTTACCAGAAAATCTATAGGTATTCAATTTGAAGTTCCTTGCTGTAAGACAAAAACGAAAAGACAATCGATATGGTTTAGAGGATGCAAACTGTTGAAGATATTTAGAGATAATAACTTGCTCCCGGAAAATGTTTTAAACTTAAAAAAAGGGGAACTAAATAATTTGGCACATATGCTAAGAGATACGTTTATACATGAAAATTACGAACTTGTTAGGTATATTTTTGCTTTATGATTATAAATATGACTGTGTTCAGGTGCGGGGTGGGGCGGCTCGAACTGTATCCTTTCCGGGCAACATAGTTTAATACTATTCAAGTCTGAGTATGGGTATACAGTTTTGGGTTGTTCTGCTTTGCACCGAAAGGACATAGTCATATTTCAAGAAATTTTGAAAAATGGTCAAAAAGAGGGCGTTACTCTGCCCAAATTTCTAGAGAATTTAAGGGCTTTTTTTCGCGAGGTGGATGAGGCGTTAATTAATTTCTAAAAAACTTCTAATTTTTTCTTTTTGCTATTTGGTTTCATAAATATTATATTTATCACTTATTCATAACTCAATGATGTGCTTTTTTTTTGTGTAATCTGTGGGGTACGCTCCTAGTGGGTTTGAAGAAAACCCTTTGCGTATCCTCACTTAACAATCCTGGGTAAACTATTGATTTATTTATTATGTGATAAAAAATATTCTTTTGTTTAATGTAATAGTGTATCTGATTTTGTTAAGTGAAATTAATTAATATTCTTATGCACGCGCGTGACTCTCACGCCGGTCATGAAAAAATTTTACGACTTTGCAACCATAGTTTAGGTATTTGCAAATCAGGTTTTCATTTTCTTCGTTCATGTTTTTTTCTGATTTTATATCGAACAAATTGTTGTTACCCGACATTGCAGCAATTTTGTGGTCATCAAAATTGCTAAGGAAATAATTAGCGTATCCTTTGAGTAAACTGCATTTACGAGTGAAGATCCAACAGCAGCCAATAAATTTCAAATTTAGATAGTCAGTTTTGCGCTCTGAAAAAATGGCACGCCTTCGGTAAAGAGTCATATCATAACTTCAAACAATTTCAATTCCCTCAATACCAGCGCACGCAAAATTTGTTCATTAAGAGACAGCATGATAACTAAGAGTGAGAATTTTTTGATAGTCAGCAGTGAAGCTTCTAGTTACCCAAGTTGAAATTAACAACTTTGACAGATATTCTTGATCTGGTTTTTCAAGGTCATTTTTGAACAAAGCATGGACTCAAGTGTTTCTATTTGTGATTTAAATTTGAAAACGTTACCGTTAATTTTACACTCAGCAACTGTTGAATTGCTTGAAAAGTTTTTGTCCAATCAGGCTGGACATTCTGTGCAGCCTGCTCTGTGAACTGCTTCTCCTGTTGGTTGTAATTTTAAGGATAAAAACCGTCACTGAATTTACTGCTTTTTGTAAAATGGCGATGGCAAAGTAACCCTAAGCCCCTAAGGGCGCATTTGGCGCCAATGTATGCTAATTTTGAGTGGGGAGCCTTTTTTGGCCTGTTTTTCAAAATTTTGCTTGCGGCGTAGAAAATGTTGCCCTTTTTTTTGGCTAGTTTTGGAAAATGTTGCCTAGTTTTTGGCCTTTTTTGACCTGTTTTTTAAAATTTTGCCTGCGATCTGGTTGATCTAAAAAAAAAAACAGGTCGACAAACTTTTTTGAGAATCCCATCCCCTCGAGAAAATCCTAGATCCGCCCCTGCTAAGCCCTGAAGGTTTCATTCGAACAGCTGAACGATGTTTTCAATTAAGTAAAAATTCTTGAATTGATCTGAGTAGTTAAATTTTTTCAGACATGTTATGTCTGATTAGTTGAGGTCACGATGAACGACGATGACGGAACTGATAATGTTGGAACTGAGGATTCCGTGGCAGCTTGCAATCCCCCTCCTCCTCCCGACTCCCACCCGCCACCCAAAGAAGTCGAGTCTCCTTCTCCCCCTCCAAGGAGTACAGCGACATCCCCGACGGTCCCATTTGCCTCTCATAAAAAAGCGCCAGACATTGCACCCTTTGAAAGACGCAACTGGCTTATCCATCAGTATTACGTCAAGAAAGACTTTGAAAAGTGCAAGGCAGTGATAAAAGCACGGTTGGAGGAGTCTAGTGGTCTGTGCGAGTATGCGTTGTACGTACAAGGTCTCATTAGTAGACTGGAAGGGAAGATTCAAGAGTCGCTGGAAATGTTTCAAACTTGCTGTTTCTTAGCACCGAATAGCATTGGCAATTTGAAACAAGTGGCGCGATCTCTTTTTCTGCTAGGTTTGTTTTCTAATATTGGTTAATTTTTTTTTGCAAAAACAGTTGACAACGATGTTCAAATTATGGAACACTTTTAATACAGTGCTGATTTAATTTATCCGGACATAACGGATAAAATTTGAAATTTAAAACATGTTTTTCTCAAATTGGGATGCCTTAAGGTAAAAAAATGATGAAGCCAAAACTTGCTTAGAATCTTGCTTTATTTTGCGAAATTCGGGTCCGTTATTATACCCAAAAAACGGCCATTTTCGGCTTTTTTAATCAATCAAAAATTACGGCAAAACTACCAAATTTTACGAAAGAACTAATTTCAAAAAAAAAGTTGCGCAAAAAGTTTAAAAATCGTTTTTAAATGAAAAAGTGAGGTTTTTCATTGTAAAAACGACATTTTTGTCTATCAAGCAATAATTAACTAATTTATAATTTTTTGGAGATTAGCATTCTTAGTTTTTGTTGGGCCAAATGAGAGGAGCACTTTGATATATTTGTCAACAATAGAATCAATAGTTTCGGCGTAATTTTTGCTTCACTAAAACAAGCCGAAAAAGGTCGGTTTTGATGTTGAATTATGGACCCGAATTTCACAGAATAAATTGCACTGTATTAATTTTGAAATTCTTAGCAAGTTATGTCTTAATTTTTTTTTGTCTAAAGCCAGCAGATTTTGAGAAAAACGCTCTTAAATTTCAAGTTTCATTCGTTTTGTCCGGGTAATTGAAAGCAGCACTACTATAGTTGAACTTTCTAATTGAACTACTATAAAAAAATAGCAAAGATTTAAATGAAAGTTCATGATCTAGGTCGTCATAAAGCAGCAATCGACATCTATGAAGAAGCGGGGAAACTGTCCTCAGAGCCAGATTGGGGCATTTATCACAACCAGGGAATATGCCACATCTATCTGGCATCGCAGGGAAACAGGGCTAACTACGAGAGTGCGAAGCAGTGTCTCAAACAGGCCATATCTTGCAGCAAACACGAGTTCACATTTGTCATGCTGGCTAAAGTGTACCTCATGGAAGGTAAAATTGTTACTCTTCATAACAGATGAACTTGATTTATTACTTCACTGATAGCTGTTTTCTCAAACCATGTCGAAATGGTATGGTGCACAGAATTGAATTCTATCTAATTTCACCAGCAAGCTTGCTCGCGAAGTGTATTAGTACGAACCTTCTTTTTTTCGAAGCTAACTGTCGCAAATAAAAGTATTCAATTATTTGGTGGTACTTTTGCTATAATCACGATCTCTAGCATTGGAAATTTCATAGCATCTGTTCTCTGCTTTATTTATGGCTAGTGTTTGTGAATTATTAAGCGTCCGTGGCTGAGTGGTTAGTGCGTGAGATATTTAATCTCTAGGTCGCAGTTTGAAACCGAGACGTAGCCGAATTTTTACTAGTTCGAGGCTTACTTCTACTTTTTATTGCACTTTATAGAGCTGATTTGTGTCGTATTCTCGCTAGTGTTTGCGAAGCAAAGCTTTGCATCTGTGTTGCAGTTTGGTCTCGATTGAAGTTTTGATGCAGCTTATCATTGGCCTTGTTTTTAGGAAGCTTTGAACTGGCTATCGAAACGTACAAAAGAGCAATTGAGTACTTTCCCGACAACCCAGACTTGTTAACGACACTTGGTTTGCTGTATTTGCAAACTGGAGACTTCCAAAAGGCTTTCGAGAACCTTGGGTCTGCTCTATCTTTCGACCCCACCCACTCCAAGGCTATCCTGGCTGCGGGTAGTATTATCCAGACTCACGGTGACTTCGAAGTGGCTCTAACTAAATACAGAATAAGTGCTCTGAAAACAAAGGAGAGTGCGCCCCTGTGGAATAATATAGGCATGTGCTTCTTCGGGAAGAAGAAATATGTTGCTGCTATCAGTTGCCTGAAGAGGGCGAACTATTTAGCTCCATTCGATTGGAAAGTAAGAAGTTTTCAAATATATATCGATCTTATTTTCTCATGAATGCATCTTGTGTTTCAATTCATCGGACTTACAATTTTTCCCGGCAGTATGCTGTGAGATGCTTAAATGAATAATATGGAGAACTTCATTGCATAGCATGTATGACATTAAAGTCAGGTTGGCTTTTTTCACTTTCCCTCACTTGCAAACTTCTACAATTATTTTTTTTTCGGATGAAATTGTCCGGCTGTTACCAAAATTATCTTTGGGACTAATTAGGCCATGTCAAATATATTTGGTCTTAATACTTAACCTCATTACACCATAAAATTGATGCTTATGTCAGTTGGAGGGGAAGGAAAAATCATTTAGAACTAAATATTGGATATATCAAAGCATGGCTGTTAGAATTAAAATGGAACTGGGAAAAGTTCGGCTTCTTTCCACTCCTTCATCCTTCAAATTTTCGATTTTATAGTTGTTGTTCCGACCATTGAAAATGAGGAGGAACTTTGTATTCGTGAATTTTTAGTTTTTTTTCTTGGTTTTCCACGCAAAATCAGGTACCACAAAAAATCATATGTGTCGAATGGGTCGAATGATATATCATATTAAAACCCTTTCAATTGTGATTGGAACAACTGAAAAAAAATTTGAAAAAATTTTTCGCAGTGTCGAGAAAAACTGGTTTGTAATTTTTTAGTTTTGGTCTAATTTCAAACTAACTTCGAGCATTCTGTGCTATTTTTACAGTAACCGGCTATCCGTGTTCCGAATTTGTATTCGGGTGTGTTTTAGTGTTTTTTTTCCACGCAAAATCAGGTACCAAAAAAAATTGGACTGGGTTGAGTGATATATCATTTAAAGCCGTTTCAGTCGTGTTTCAAACGACTATTAAAATTTTCAAAAATGTTTCCCAGTGTTGAGAAAAACCGGTTTGGACTTTCGATTTTTCGTCCAATTTCGAGAAAGCAGGTTTATTATAGAAGTAAATAGTAAGTTGTATATAGTAAATTTTATTACAATTTTTTTTTCTATACTTAAAAAATGTAATGAAATATCTTTGCAAATTTTTTAGTGCTATCTTGAGAATTAAAAACTTCAAAAGTTCAGAAAAATTTCTGCAAAAACTAATTTTTAATTTAATTTTAAATAGAAAAATAATGAGAAAACATTTTAATATTTGATTTTTTTTGTTTTTTTTCATTAGTCATTTTTTTTGAAGAAAGCTGATGTCCTGTTACTGTGAGTGCCTTAAATCTAGTCTTTCCTCCAGACCTTTTGATCACACGAAAAGCCTAAAATCTGGTCTTTCGTTCATAACCTTTCATCACACCACCCACCAAAAATTGAATTTAATTTCAAGAAAAAACAATTTCTTTGTTGTTTTTTAAACCTTAACAACTTCCAGGTTCTTTCCCACCTGGCCTGGAGGTAACGCGGTCGCCTTTGCACCCTGAGGTTCAAGTCCCGGCTTAAACTTGATTTTTTTTTTCAGTATGTTCGAATTTGAAGATTTTTGAAAAAATTTCAAGTTGGACTTTCGTTTTCCCGCTCAAGTTTTGTCGGCTTTGCTGCCATATCACGGATTTTTCTTGTGCTTAAACCAAGTTTTTTTGTAGTTGCAAGTATTGTTCTTTGTAGTTTCATGGGGACTTCAATTTTTTGAATTGTTTCTTTTTTTTAAATCTTTTTTTTTTCGATACAACTGGTGCCTGCTCGATGATTGTCGGCTTGGTTTCCGCTTCCTAAGTTTTTTTCCGTTGCTAATTTAGTATTCAAGTGTCATGCTTGGCTAATGTGTCTAGAATGATCTTTTTTTGAGACATACGAAAACTTTGGTAGACCTAATTTTTTAAACATTTTTTTGTTTGTGTTGTATCGCAAGTGGCGCGAAGCTCCGATTAGCCTCTTTGTTAATAAGTACGGTATTGAGATTCTTAATTGGTCAAAAACTGGGGCTTTTTGGTTAATAAATTGAAACAACATCAACAAATACAGGTTCGTTCGTCAAAACGAGCAGTCTTCAAAACGAGCAGTCTTAGGTTAATTAACTTCGTTGAGATACGTTGTCCGAAAAGGATACCGCGTAAGACAACAACGTCTTTTCCAATCTTTGACACTTCTAATTCAGGTTCTATACAATTTGCATACATGAGTACTCTACCTTGTATCTAATTTTCCTCTTTTGGGATGGATGGGGGTATTTCACAAAATTTAAATAGTGCAATTTTTGAGATTTGTAATTTTTCAGGTGCTCTACAATCTGGGTCTGATCCACCTGAACACTGGTCAGAATGCTTCCGCCTTCAACTACCTCAGTGCGGCAGTGTCCATCATAGGCGGAGTGCCCAAGTGTGCCATGGCTCTCATGCTACTCGGAGTGGCACTCACTAATCTGGAGGACAAGGAGAATGCCAGGAAATGTTACCAGAGTGCAATCGGGTTCAACGATGACGAGCCACTCATTCCCTTAAATTATGCTGCTTTCTCATACCAGAATGTTAGTGAATTAATTTCTAATTGTATTCAGAGAACAAATAGGGTTAAAGTAATAAAACACAACAGAGCGTAGTGTCATATTTTGATACCACTTTGATTCAACCTAAGTCGAAAATAGAACTTTCGCAGTTTTATATCTGATTTACTGTGCTTCATAGCACAGGTTTTTGAAAATATATGGGATTTAGTTTTATGATAATTTTTTTTGAGATGCTTTGGAAAAGTTGTGAATCTTTCAAACAAAATTCTCGATTTTCAAATACGAGGTGTCAATGGAAAAGTTCGCTATTCTCCTTTGTGCCTGCACACTCCGCTCGTCTTTTTTTTTACTTCACTCGACTTTTTAAGAGCTTCTAAAGTTTCAGGTGGGATTTTTGACACCTTTTTTGGACTATTTTCTTTTTCTCGAATGCCAAATCTGAGATCAAGGATTCAATCAATAAAGATGTTGTGGGAATTTCCCATGGAGAAGCTGCTATGCCCTATTTTTTCAAAGAAGTGTATAGTCTTAAAAAATTAAAGCCTTTTTTGGAAAACTAACTTGTCAAATCTGGGTTCAAGGGGTTTAATCGAGGAAACAGGTTGTTTAAGTCTTCGCTTTAGGAAATGTACCGCTTTTGAGAATGTAGTTTTAAAAAATTTGCCCGTTTTGGGATTTTTTTCTTGGCAGAATCCGGCACCCCCCTAATTTTTTGAGGAAAATTAGTTTTCTACAGAAAAGTCTATTTAAAAAAATTAGACTGTACTCAGAAGATTTTTGTCGAAAAATACCCTGCCAAATCTGAGATAAAATTTTTCTGCCTGGCGGCTATAACCTCATGTTTGTAGAAAAGCAAAGTTGAATTCGCAAAAAAATTCATGCATTGAAATGTGGGCAGTTTTTTTGGAAGTTTTTTGACTTAACACGAAAACTGCAGGGCCAAATCTGAGATGAAGGGTCAATCAAAAAAACAAGCTGAAGAACTACCTATTGGTTAGGAGTTTTCCAATAATCTGGTATGTAATTATGAAAATTTTAAAATTGTGAACCGTTGTTGGATCAGTTTCCCTACAAACTATTGCGATGGACTTGGAAAAGTCCATTTTTTGTCATTTTGACAGATTTTGAAAGTTACCTCTTTACCATTTGCATCACTGCGTTTTAAAAATAGTTTTTGAAACCCACCTTGATAACGGCACATAGATAATTTTTCATCATTTTAACTTTTTGCCCTTTTCTCGCTGGTGTTTGCAAAATTTAACTTGGCCTCAGTGTAAAAGTCTGTTGTGAAATGTCAAAAGGGAAATTTGCACTGGGTATAAAATTCGTAGCCGTTGAATTACTTCTTTTTTGGGGGTGAGTGGAAATTCTGTAGTTTTTGTTCCGACCATGAAATGTGGAGCAACTTCGTAATCGGGTGTTTTAGTTTTTTGTTTTCCTCACAAAATTAGGCGCCACAAATAATCATCGCAACTTGTTGAGTTATTTATCAAATTAAAGCCCGTCCAGTCGTGATTCGAACGACATTTAAAAATTTTGCAAAATCACTCATGAAAAATCAGTTTGAAATTTTTAGACTAATTTCAAGCTTATAAAGTGAGGCTAAGCAAGCTTACAAAAGCTTATTTATGCTTAATTTAAACCGTGAAAACTTAGTTTTACTCGAGCAAAGTTAGTTTTGGAGTTTTCGCGCCAATTTGGAATCAAAATTTTTCTGCAAAAAAAATTTTTTTGTAAGGATTGTTTTCTTCGTTGTTCTAGTCGTTTTTCTAGAAAAAACTGTTTTCCAATGGGCCTATTTTACTATGAATGTCGAATATGCCTAAGTTTTTTTTTTTCGTTCAGATTTTTTTATCACACCATGCAGAAAAAGCGATACTAATTTGAAAATTTATTTTGTATTTTTTAAGTTTAGGGTCGGAACATTCTGTGCTACTTGCACAATAACCGGCTGTACTTGTTAGTTTTTTTATTTTATTGATTCGTGCACTGATTTTTGTTTGAAATTCTACGAGCGTTATAGCAGAGTTAGATTTATGTATTATATTCCTTGTGGTATTTTCTGTTCCATGCTTGTTTCTGGGTTCCTCATTAATTGTTGTTCAGGGTGACAACAGTAAGGCTCACGAGATGTTCCAGCTATTCCAGAAGAAATTGTCTGCTAAGAAAGAGAAACAGAAGGACTACGAACTAAGTCCAGAGATGGATGCACTGGTTAAAAAACTGGAACCAGCTCTGCATATGGGAGCAGCAATAGTCGCTAAAAGATCTGTGGGAACCTTATGATTTTTGAGATGTATAGACTTTCAAGGGCTTTTATCTAAAACTTTGCAAGTTTTCAAAGACAAAAACTGATGCATTGCAAGTGGATGTATCCTTAAACTACTTAACCCCGGCAGTTTTCCAAGGTCATTATTTGTCGCTCAGATAGAGTTAGTTTTATCTTTGCCAGTCAGAAGATTAACCTTGGTCTAGACCTGTTAGATGTAATATAGCTGGATAGCTTAGTGTAAACAGTGTGGCTGATTGTTAGTTGGATTTTTTCAATCGAGCTGGAATTGAATTTTGATGACTAATTGTAAATTGTTCTAAAATGTAGATAAAGATGTATGCATTGTTTTTATTCCAAACAGAATATAAGTTCACTTTTTTACCAATTAAAAAAATTTCTTTAACGTTTTTGGTACCTATAGTAATATCAGTTAAACGGGATCTGTCATTTTGTTTATAGACATGGATTTCTGATTACAGATAAAAAAGTAAATATTGGGTAAAAATGACTACTTTTGGGGTGCCTCAGTCGCCTGTGGGTTTGTTCTACATCACAAAAGCAGAACCCAAAGAACGCCTGGAGGAGGAATTGGAGATGCATGGTAGCTTCGTGCGCCAGATGATTGCTCCTCAAAGACCAGAACAGCCTGCCAAGTCCAATCAGGAGATCCACGACATCCTGGCATCTTCTGCAAATGCGAGTAATGAGAACCACGAGAAAGTTTGTCTAGGTCTGTTGTACATTATTCTCACAAGCAGTGAAACAGCTCCGAGGTCCTTCCAAGATCTGACACTGATAACCAGGGACCATTTTGGACTCATTTTGACAAAGTTGAATATCATCATCATGGAAAAGTATTTCAGGTAAGTTTTGAACAAATATGCAAGTTTCACGACCCAATGTTTTGAATGAATATCGCTATCAATTGTAAAAAAAAATTACTACGCAATGAAATGAGCCAATGCATGATACAAATACATTTTGAGACATTTGGCCGAAACACGCCAGGCTATTCGACCAATCTAAAATTGAGACGATCTATAATTTTATACGATCTATAATAGCGGCAAGTAAGATTTCACGTGCACTATATCAATCATGCCCAATATGAGCGAAGCAAGTAAACCTAAAAGTTTCAATTTCCAATTAGCTGAATTTTCGTACCGAAGAATTGCGGTAGTTTTCATTAACTGAGATTGAAAAGTAAAATACTTTTCGAAGTTCGAAGTAATTTATTTAGACTGCTAGACACAGCAAGACAGCAGCTAGTGTGGATCGTCCAACAGCTTGTCTCATCTAGATGTGTAGGAGCTAATCAATGCTGCATCTGTCTGATGAAGAACATAATAGGCGGTGATGTCTCTTCCAAAAACATTTGGCTCGCGGAACGCTTGCTGGAAATATGTCAAGAAAACGAAATTGCAATATTCGAGAACGACAATCTATTACTTGGTCATTTTATTTTCACGTACTTGAGGCTCATTTGCGACCACAGAGGAACCAAATATGAGAACTTGAGGAAGAATGAGATCAAATTTTGTGTTAGTTTGCTGAGGAGTAGATTCATGGACTGTTGCGTAATCGGGCGGGACCTGGTTCGACTCTTGATGAATGTGGCAAGGATTCCAGAGTTCCAGCAGCTGTGGAAAGACATCCTCTACCAGCCACAGACACTGAGTCCGAAGTTCAACGGTTAGCTGTTAAGTTATCGTTTTGTGTTCAACTGATGGCCTGAGTTTTTCTCAATTAAGACAAAACGAGAGTTTTGTGAAGGTATCAAAATGCTAATCATCTAATTGCTCAGAGTATACGCTGTTGCCAGTTGATGGATGATGTAGTGATGATATTTTAAATAAGTTTCTCTTTGTTTCAGGGATTCTCAGTCTTCTCCACATCAGAAGTCAGCGCAAATTCATCGCCTCCAGACTAACAATTGAAATGGAGAACAAACTCAACTTCCTAATGTCCAAAGTGAAATTTGGAAATCACAAACGATATCAGGAATGGTTCCACAAATCATACCTTTCAACAGCCGAATCTCAAAATCTATGTCCTGATCTAATCAGATACATCTGCTGCGTAATTCATCCAACCAATGAGATCCTTTGCTCAGACATCATACCGCGCTGGGCTGTGATTGGCTGGCTCCTCCTCCAATGCAAATCCAACTCGATAGCAGCGGAGTGTAAGCTGGCTCTCTTTTTCGACTGGCTAACTTTCCAGTTAGACAAAGACAACATTATGAATATTGAACCAGCGGTGTTGGTGATGTATCATAATTTGAAGCATCACACGGCCACCTCAATCACGCTTCTGGACTTTCTGATCAGAATCCAGGCCGATTTCTACCCGCCACTGCAGCAGGCATTGAAGCAAGGGGTGCACAATTCATTCAAACTACTTCTGGAGAAAAGAGTGCTGCCGTCATTGGCGCCCATTTTTGAGAGCAATAAATTGGATCCCGAATTGAAGTTAGTTTTATTTAGAACGTCAGCTGTGGAGTTTAAATTTGGGGTGTTTACTGTTATACGACATGAAGCTTAGAAACATTAAATGAGCTTTGGTTTTAAATTGAGGTTTTATCTTTTCCTTAATTTGATCAATTTTAATAAAGAGATTCAAGTATAGTTATCGATTTTCAATAAACTGAAATGCTAAATAAAACTCAATTTTTTTGATCAGCTTGCCGTTTCAAAAAGTGAAAATTAGGATTAATTGTTTTTTTTCGCCAGTTTCTGATTATTTACCCGTTACTGTTTTCGGCGGCCTTATTACTTATATTTCTACTACAATTAATGCCATATTGCTCCAATTGAACGCACTTGTTACAATTACTGTAAACAGGTCTGAAATCTTTTAGAGCTCAAGTGAAAGCAAACTTCGGAGACTTCATGGAAGCAGTGCCAGTTCCACTGCCTGGACCAGGAGTGGTGAACCTGCCTCCCCCTCCCCCGACCACTGACCACCAGAAAGTGACTCAGGCTCTGATGGAAGATATCAGTCCCCTAGCTGAACAGTCTTCCAGTTCGGAAACCCCCACGTCGGGGTTGGTTGTGCCGCCGACTACGCCGTCTGCATACGATAGTGGATTGGATTCGGGCGGTGAAGGTAAAGTTGAGCTCTGTAATGGGTCGGTCTATTAAAAAAGTCCGCTCAAATTGATTTTTTGCGTTTTGAGTAATGTTTTGTTTTCAAGTTCAAAAACAAAGACTTCTAGTTTCGAAAGTGGATTTTAAATTTAAGATTTCCCACTAGAATACAAAAATAAATTTTTAATTGAATTTCTCAAATTGGGTTAGTTATATCAAAAAAAATTCCAGGCAAAAAATTGTGCTTAAAATTTAAATGGCTTAAAATTTTTTCTTGAAAATTTGATCGTTTGTTTTTTTTTTAAAAAAGGTCAGTCACTTTTTTTGCTCTAATTGAGTTTGAGGCTTTTCAAACAATATATTGGCCCTGTTTTGATTTGATGCACAGCATGGCCATGGATGAATCGAGTAAAATAGAATTAAGGTTTATCTTTGGTATATTTTGCTGATTTTATGTTGCCTGTTTTTGGTTTTTGTGTGCAGGTGGTGTTGGTGGCGTGAAGAATGAGTTCAGCAGTGACGAGGAGGAAGTGGATGAGTTGAGACCCCCGCCTGTGATATTAGACGAAGAGGACTGCACATTTGGCATCGCTACCTCCTCAACGACAGAGGAACAGCAAACAGTTCATGTTAATAGCACTGCCGCCATATCAGCCAGTCTCAAACACACAAAACCACCAGTAAGTGAGGGTAGTAATCACAGAAATCACAAAAACTTTAAACGACAATGATAGCACCCAAGATGTTTTACGACAATTTTTTTTGGTGTTTGAGGGTTTCATAGACATCGATTGCTTGCCGAATTGAATAAATTGGCTTAAATAAGATAATTATTTGTATAAAAAAATCAGCTGTAAAACAAAATTATCATGGTAGGAAGGAAAGCTGCATTTCTAAGAAGTGCTCGATGAGTCTGAGACTACTGCAAGCATCTAAGAAGCATTAAATTTCTTTTAGTGATTACTTTAGGCCAGCAAGGAATCGAAAATTGTGAATAGTGGTTCATTTGTGGAGTACAGCTACAGTGTACAGGCGGTGAAGGAGTTAATCGTGTACCCAATCGTGGATAAGCTGGAACAGGAAGACATCTCAAAATATTTCAGCCAGATTGACGTGGATATGCTGGACTATTGTAAGTTCTCCATGCGAAAAAAAAATAGAAGTTCCGTAAGAGTCGAATGTAATTTTTGATATTCATGTTTCTTAATAGCACAGAATTGAGGTCTTAAAACTTTTTAAAGAAATACCAAGTGGTGGTGTCGCCATGTAAAAGTTGATTCAATTTAAGGCATGATTTCGTGCAATAAATTTAAACTCATAAAGAAAATAATCTCTTAAATGTTTAGTGAAACAATTGCACAAGGAAGACCTGGTCACTACGAATGCTTCACTTGCCTCGGAGTTAATCAAGAAGATATGTGAGATCCAGGCTACATATCAAGACGCAACCAGAGAATCATGCGTTCCGCTAGCAGCCTGCCTTTGCTCTCTTTTGGTGCCAAACTTCCAGGTTTTTTCATATATTCAAGTCACTACGCAGTGCAATATTTAAGAAAGGAAATATTGCCATAAATGCACAAATCACCAACAAAAACGATTTTGCATGGATGAAGATAACAAGAATAAATTTGATAGTAATTACAGCATTTTTATATAAGCTGCGAAAACGGGTAGCATGGTTTTAGATGTTTCTCTTCCTGAAGTACGAAGTATGGAAGAAGATTACTGTTGTTGCTTTTGAATAACTTCGGAGTATTTCTTTGCTTGCCCTTTATTTTCCTTTAGTTCTGTATTCAGGTGTGTTTTTTTGTTTTACTTTTTACTAAGAGTCGATGAACGTAGTTCAGAATCTTGAAAAAATCATCGCGACCCGTTCTTGTCTCTGATTTTTTTCGTTTTTTTTTTGTTTCAGGAAAAGTTTTTTAAATTTTGTTCAGTCTCAATTGTACTTTTTCTCGATCTGACTTTTGATTTTTATTCAAATTTAGTGCATTTACATTGTTTACACAAGCATAGCTTGTGTTATAGTGTGAACTTTCTTTTTTTTCCAACATAAGTCGCAAATATTGTTGCGATGCAATTGTTGCGACAAAATGTGTTCATTTTGAAAGTGTTCATTTTGATCCAGCTATTAAGTACAGCCAATGCGAAGGATATTAACACAGACTTCTATACTACGAATAGCACTTTAGCTTCAAGGCATGAATCTGTAGCGTAGAGGTAGGGAAAGAGACCAGCAGCAAAATAAGAGGGTTCGGACCTGGGCAGGGTCGGATGTTTTAAATGAACTTTTTCGTATGCTAGTTTAAATGCGCGCGCTCTAATAATTTAAGGCATGCTAGTCGGTAAATTTCTTTTTTCAAATTGACTGTTACTGCTAATGCGTCTTAATTGGCTTGCGTCATTTATCAAATTTTGTAGACTCAAAGTTTTACTCATTCAGTTTTTCCCAGTAGCGTTATCGGTCATATTTTCGCTTGTGTATGCGAAGTGCAATTTCGCCTCTGTGTTCAAGGAAGGCAACCCCACTATCGAACAGCGAAAGTGTAAAGGTCACGAAAAACCTGATCGACTTCTAACTTCAAAAATGGAATTTAATTATCAGGTTTCCCAGCGAAACAAAATTTTTATCTATTGAGCCAGTTTTCTCAAATTGGGTTAATTTTATGAAATTTTCAATCATAAATTGTTCTAGAAATTCAAAGAGCTTGAAGGCCATCTGTTTTTGTTGGAAATTCGAAAGTTGGAATGTTTTCATAAAGCGGGTCAGTTTTTTTTCAGTATTTTTTTTCTGTTTGCCCTCTTCATTGTTTCTTTTCCCACTGTCTGTTGACAATGTTTTTATTCACGCAAAATTGGGTGCTACAACTGAGTGTCGGATGGAATCGTAAAAAAAGTCGTCAAAAAACTTCCCGCAATTTTTTTCGAAAATCGGCTCCGCCTCGAAAACCCTATATCCGCATATGGGTGAAAGTTTTCTGTACTTATTTCTCAACAATCGTCTACCCTTGTTTTAAATTGTATTGGCCAGCACACTACATCAGCTCTTCTTGTTCTTTCTAAATATGTATAGCTATTTTGTATCTCTTTTTAGGTGCCTGTTCTGAAGAAGGGTGACGATGGTAGTAATCAGGTGGACTTGATGCCAGCACTGGGTCTCAGTCTGAATGACGTCACTGCGCCTAATAATGGCAGTATTGCAGGGCAGAATGGATGGGACAAATATGCCCTGCAGGTGCTGAAGAAGCCACTCTATGCAGTGTTCCAAGTACTCTGTCAGCCAGAGTGCGACTCGCTTTCTCTTAGGTCAGTGTAGAGCATGGTTTGAGTTGGACTTGGCTTAATTTGGCTGCCAGTGTTTTCTTAGTTTGTTACGTTTTTAAAGGCAAACAATATGATTACGCAACAAAATCTCTTTTTATAAATCTCATTTGATTTAATAAAAGTTTTCTTTTGCTCAGATGCTTTGAAAAAATATTTAATTAAATAATTTTTGCAATAATATCCTTGGTGGAACGAAAACTTGAAGTAGTTTTACCTACAAGTGCTTCTTATTTTGACGAATGAATTCTTTTTTTAAGCATGTCATAACGGAAAAACTGTTTTCGACCAAATAAGAAATTCAAGGTCAGCAATACTCCCAACCATTTGACCTTAAAAGGTTAAATTTTTATTGTTCCTTGGCATCTAATAATCACCGCTACTATCTGCGACTCATTATTGTACGCAAAATTATGCATTATTTGATTGAGCCTTGATGACAGCATGGTTGTTCTATTTCAGTCACATGGTTGCGCAGATGTACGAGTTGAACAGCAGAGTGGGCTACCACCTGCTGTTCTACCTGGCAGCCACTGCCAACCAATCGGACTCGGACAGACTGTCCCAGGCCAGCAGCACCCAAACAGCCACATCCACTGATCCAAAAGATGTCTACGTGGATGTGATGCTGAACTCACTGGACGAAGAGATCAGCACTGCTCTGGTTAAGGATATGCACATGGCGGCAAAACATGATATGAATCTGTTCATGAAGCTACTGCCATACATCTTCACCAACTTCAGCCAAGGTCAGATTAATTGTATCTCTTCCTTGGAGACTGCGAAAGTTAGAGGTTGCTTGAAATTTTGATATGACTCACTGAAGCGGCGTCAGTCATTCCAGCAGAAATGGAGGCGGTTTTACTGTTTCCAAATATCAGTTTTTAATTTTGTTGGCCATGTTCAGAAGTGAGGGGCAGTGTGCCGATGGCGCGTCTGATTGTGTCCTCGATTGACCCCAAACAGCTGAACAACATCATCTCCCTCATCATGTTGGATGAGTTGGAAGTGGTGGAGGAGGAGTCAGTCTATGACATCCTGGTGGACAGTCTCCAGTGGGAGTCATTCGAACAACTGTTCCTCTGGCAACTTATAGGTATCACACTCTCACACACATTAGAACAACTGTTTTTCCAACAGATTCTACCGATGATGTTTATTTGTTTACATTCCAGTAGGGATTTATAAAGAGTTTTTAACGTAGTGAAGACTCTTATATAGGTCTTGGTGATTTTTTTCAGGAAACTCTAAATGTGCATTCATACATATTAATGCATTTATATATGCACTTTTTGAGTTCAATTGAAAATCATCTGCTTAAAGTGACATAAATTGCATTCTTCAAATACGAACGTGGGAATGGCGCAAAAAATGTGAACGATTTCTAGTTTCGAAAGTGGAATTTAGTTTTTAAATTTCCAGTTTTTAGATTTTCTGTTGTTCTAGAAGTTCAAAGAGCATAAAGAGCATCTATTTTTTCTTTGAAATTCGAAAGTTGAGATTCTTTTAACAAAGTCAGTGTTTTTTTTTGTTTACTTGCTTTCATTACTCTTTTCCAACTGTCGGTTGGCTATGTTATAAAAAACCACACTTACAAATTTATGAAATAAATCAATGAAGTCGGTAAATTGCAGTGTATCAAGAAGCACGTAAATGCTACAGGCCCTTAATTTAATACCACAAGTTGTTTACACTTGCGAACTTTAGTAGGTAGTGTTATAGTACGACTACTCCTTTTTTTTCTAACCTAAGTCGCAAGTATTGGTGCCACTTTTGGATAACTTTGCAGCTTATTGATAGCATGCGCTTTGTCTTTCGATTAGTCATAAGTTGAAACAGTTGATGCAATTCTGATTGTTCAAATGAACCGTACAAAAGGTATTTGCTTCAAGTATCAGTACAAAAATAAAAACTCGATTTCAAAAAGTTTCCAACTCAAAAAACTCCCAAATGTTTGAAATGCTAAATTTGTACTTAATTAGGATTATTGCGTTCGAATTTTTTACATGCAATTTTAGCGTGGATGCCTTTTATATTCCAACTTTTTACATTCCAAATTGTGTCTCTTTGTATTTGTTGCCACTTCTGCTGCATGGCATTGGCAATTTATTAGCATATGTAGCTGCTCCATTTGTGATTCGTGTTTGTGGGTTCTTAAGAGTTCGTGGCCGTGCGGGAAAGGCGTGAGAGATCAACTCTCGAAGTCGCAGGTTGGAATCCGATACATAGCAAATTTTAACTAATTGGAGGCTTATTTCTATATTTTTTTTCACTTTATAAAGCTGCTTTCGTGCAGTTTTCTCGCAAGTGTTTGCGAAGCACAGCTTCGCCTCCATGCAAAGGAGTTGAACTACGGACGGAATTTAGCGTTTTGAATACTATTATCTAAACAGATTCAAATTCGTAACAGGCGACAATTCGTAACCGGCGACAGTTCGTAACAGGCGACAATTCGTAACAAGTGACAATTCGTAACAAGGCTTTGGTAAGAAGAATACGCTTGCTCCGCTGCGCTTACATCCGGCACGAGGAATACTGCGCATGAATCAGTGTTCCCCGACTTATCTACTGTTACGAATTGTCGCCTCACGCTATTCGTCATAGCCTAATTATTCTGCATGCCAAATTTGGTAACAATCGGACAATGAGAACAAATAGTTTGCTAGTGAAAATTTGCTGCTGGGGGAAGTAACAAGAACCCAGAATTCAAAATAGTATTCGCGGTATTTGTTCCAAAAAACGGAAACCAAGGAACAGAATTTCCACCCATTTTGTTTTAGGAGCCCATGAACTCAGTTCAGAGAGTATAGTCCCAATCATTCACAAAATTAATTGGAATAAAGACTCGGAAGCAGCATCAGCTATTGTGCTTCGTCTCAAACGAGAGAAGCCCAATTTCGACGTGCTCAAACATATCTATTCGAGACATACTACTCAAAGCAATGAGAATGAACAGGATGATGACCAAATGAGCACGTCTCTCCTCTACTATTGGTCAGTCACTTGCGCGTCTCAATTGGCCGATTTGACAAAGAGGCTAATAAACGGAACCTCGAGTAGCGGAAAGTCTAGTCAAGCGAAGATTGCGAATGCGATTCATCAACACAGAAACCCGACTCTCACTGAAATCTTGAGACACCTCGATAAATTGAGACTGAATGTGGACTATAAAAACGACGATTTTTTCTCTCAAGATGCGATAAATGATGCGCTTAAATTCGCACACTCGCATATTTATAAAAGTCAGCGGGAGGAGTTTCAAGATTTGTTCGGACTTATAAATTTAACTAGCCCGCCGTCAACAAGCAAGCGAAGTGCAAGCAGAACGGCCACAATTTCGTCAGCTGTTTCGACTGCAGTTAGCAGTGCGTCATCTGGTCGAAATGCGAAGAGGTCGAAACGAGAATCTTCGATTGAGATCAGCACGGATTCGGATAGCAGTAACGATACACCGACAAAAGGAAGCAGTGTAAGTAGTAGCTCAAAGTCAGCGCCAAAGAAAAAGGCGAGAAGGTCCACGTCTAGAACTGCAAGTTCGAAAAGTGGGTCAAGGAGGAATTCGAATGAAAAGAGCACACACTCGAGTAGCTCCAATGAATCAGACTCTTCTGGGTGAAAAACTTCTGCTTGAAATGTAAATTGTAGTGGAAACTGTCTCTTGCAGTTGAATATTGTTAGGCTTGTTTTCCTAATTAACTCTTTTTTGACTTTTTTCATATAGAAAAAATTGTAAATTTGATTATTTTTCATTTTGGTTGATTTGGTAATTTTAATTAGAAAAATAACAACCATAAAATATTTTTATTTTTTCAAGGAGTTCAAATATTTGTTTTTGAAATAACGGTTTTCCAATCAATAGTCTAAGCAATAATAGGCTCCAATTAATAGGCTTTTTTCAAATTAATAGTCTAAATTGAGTTGGAAGAGCCAAAATTGAAACAGTGCATAACTTAAAACGTTTACTCGGAGTTCCACGTGAGATAGCGAGAACTTGTAGAACAGCTGGGCTGTAGGGAACAATTTTGAGGCTAATAAGAGTCGGGTTCATAAGTTTCTAAGGTTTCTTTATTGTGCGCAACTTCTTCAATTCATATATATGAACGCTCTTTTTTCTATTTTAAGTGGAATTTTTTTTTCGTTTCATAGAATCTGTTTTTTAGCGTATTTTTAAACGGTCAGTCCTCTTTCTTCCAAACAAAATCACATATTATAAAGCAAAGTTTATCGAAAATCAAGTTTTTGAGATACATTTTAGCTCCCTTTTAAAGATACGGGAGCTCGTAGAAAAATATTTAAGAAGGGATTTTTTCCTAAAGTTTCGGAATTCTCAAATTGTTAGTTTTTTTATTTGCTGCATTCAATATTGCGTGAAACTGTATTCTTCTGTTTCTCAAGGCGCGACGTATTTGAGCGCGGCAACTCAATCCATATTTCAAAGAGTGCAATTATACTTTTTGCGTTTGATTCGACAAAATATGAATATTGCTAGCCTTATTTTTCAAAACACGTTTCAATTTCCACAAACTGCATTCCATTTCAATGCGATAAACATAAACGTTTGAAACAGTAAAATTTCGATGGCTTTTAGAGATATCTCGCAATATATCCGGGGATGGGATGTTGATGCATTTTGAATATTCATTGAAGCATAATTAAAGATTGTTCATCCTTGGTGAGTGATTGTACATGCATTGGTTGCTCACCTTGAATGTCAAATGCAGCTATTGAAACTAAATATATTTGGACTGAAAAATACGTGTTCAAGTCAGGACATGTGCATGTTAAAAAACGTCAGTTAGTAGACTTGCTAAAACCAAAGTCAATTTTGTTGAAATGAACAATCAGCAGTTTAGAATTGAAAGGAAAAAAGGTATCAACAAAGGTATCAAAAAAGAGTAAAATCAGGCAAGCTAATTGGTGCTAAAAATTATCCTATCAATTATGTTTTTCAGTACTTGTCAGTTTTTGAATTTGGTTTTCGTTCAAGACATCTGAATATTTCGGGATAGATGGAAAGCGACTGTTTCGTATGAAAGTTGAATTAATGATGATTAGTTACTACAAATTGCGGGTAAAATGGAATGAATTAATTAGGGGAAAATTAATATGGGTTTTTAATTGAGCTTACAAGTGAACAAATTATCTTATTTAAAACATGCTTTGCTTACTCCAAAATTGCTGCCCGCGTTGATCGCTGATCAACCAATTTAATTTATTGTTTTATCGTTCATCGTCTTTCATTATCAATTTCCGTAATCTTAAAATTGGTCGTGTACTAAGCTTTCTATTCGCTGTTTTAAATTGCACTACCCTCACTAGACTATCGTGTCCGGCATATACATTTTCAACGAATATAATTGGCCATAATAAAGGGGGGTTATCATCATCAGTTCTGCATACTAGATCTCCTTTTTTCAAGTTTTGTTTCAACACGGTTCTTATTGCGTTGTTGCATAGCTGTTAGATACTCAAAAGTCCATTTCTTCCAGACTTCTGCAATCAGTTAGTGCAATTAGTTGAATCTTTTTCTCGGGCATTTCTCATCTTCATTAAGTTCATCAATGGTAGGATCAGCAACAATGGGAGATCGACTTGACTTGAAACCATTAGCAGCATTGATGGAGTGAGTGGCACAGTGTCTTTGAAATCATCCGAGATTTTTGTGATCGGTCTTGAGTGGAGTATAGCTTCTATATTACAAAACACTGTGTGCATCTTATCAAGTTCTAGTTTTCCTCCATTGCCTTTTGTCTTGTGAAAGCAGTTTCATTGACTTAACAGCAGCTTCACCTAGCCCTCCGAAACTTGTAGCCCTTGCAGGTACAGTAATCTAATTGATACCTAAGTCTCGAACATGATCAGAGAGGCTGTCTATCTTGCCTCTATCCTGTAGAAGTCTCTTCACTTGAATTAGCTCGTTGAGCGATCCGATGGACTTGGTTCGATTATCGAAGGAGATCTGCCTGGGGCATCCTCGTCAACCAATGAGCCTTCTGATAAGCTCCAAACATTCTTCAAGTAGATTGCTTTAGTAGAAAATCACATGAAAAATACTATGTAACACTTTATCAGCTTCCTTAGTTTTAGTCGGCTTCCTAATAGTTTATCGGCTTCCTTATAGTACATTAGTCCGGCGATACCAACACAGAAGAATGGTGGTGATGGGTTGACACTCTCACCAGGGTAATCCTCCATCAGCTGATTCATTGCACTACTAAGGAACCTGAAGCGAGTTATGCAGTTGCCTATCATTGCTTACGCCATCGTCTTGACTCGTATGATCCAGAAGTGCTGCAGAGTTTGAGTAAATATGGCATTCCGTACATAGTGTAATTGAACAAATTGACTATGGCGAATCACAGTTCTCGAAAAATGAGTGTTTAGAGGCAAGAGCATCTGAAATTTGCTTTCTCGTTCAGGCAATCAGCAGCTGCTCGTCTTCCACCAATTTTAGCAATCCATCAACGTCCATCAATGGATGTTGCTGAAGGAGGCTTGATGTCCGGCTAATATCTTGTCCGTTTCTGATTGCTTTCATTGCTTCCCCTAACATCTCGTACAAGAAGTTTTAATCATAAGTATCGAAGCTGATTACGATCGTCGGTGTTGTTCTTCAGGAGATTCAGGATGAACTTTGCGACAAAGGCTCCAGTCCGTAGACATTTATCAAAAGATCCCTATCGCTCCAAAGACCTTTCCGCTGTTTTTGTCTATCCGACGTTTAGTCCTGGTTGCTTTTGGTGCTTACTTGGTTTCCTCCCTACCAACTGCCTGAGAGACCAGGATGGTTTCGTCGAATGACCGTTTGAGCTCGTTCTTCTCTTCATTTGCTTCGAAAATTGTGGGTTGTGATGGAGTACAAACTTGATCTCTCTGCAACCAAGAGAGTCCTGACCACCAAAGCTGCAAATTTTGTAGTTCAGATGCTGCTACTGGTCGAGTTGTATGATCGACTGGGTTTTGATGAGTCTGAACGTGATTCCACTTGTCGGCGGGTAGCATCTGTTGAATTTTAGAGATACCGTTGTCCACAAAAAAGAATACTAGTTTGGAGTTGATCTGATCCAAGTAAGCGCTATAGTTGAATCACACCAGGCGCTGACATATACCACCAATTGCAAGTTTACACAGCCCAGAACTTTTGAACAAAGCTCAAGTCTTTGAATGCAAACGGTCTTCCTTGGTGCAAGTCGTGACTTGTTGTCTAGCAATGGAGTGTGAAATCCTGCGTGTGAAGTTGTTCTGGCAAAAATAGCTGCTCCGTAAGCCATTTCCGATGCGTCGCAGAAGAGATGAAGATGACTTGATGACAGCTGTCCTTGGCCAAGTACCGAGATACGTTCGCTATTTGGTTCGCTATTTGTGCCCCAATATCTTTATCCCATTCCAAATCTCCAGCCCAAGTTTTTTGGAATAGAATCTTTGGCATTATTGTTTCAGGGGTCACTATCCAAGGGGATCAAAAACTCGTCCCAAGTTGATTGCTATCATCCGGCGGGTGATCGTAAGTTTTCGAAAGCTTTCGGGCAGAGCTATTGAGCTGCTCTCAATCAATGTAAATGGATCTATGTATGTCTTTCTTCTCTTTTTAGCGCGATTTAGCTGACCAGAGGATGCTGAGTGGAGTCATGTTTGTGTTTTCTGAAAATTGGACAATTTTAGGTGACACTCTTTTTTTCGTTTTAAATTATTTTGAAGCATGGTTCAATTGCGTCCCTGATCTTTTCAGCGAGTTGGTTTTTGAATTTTTCAATTTGGAAATTTCCGTCGAAGTTGACCACATTATATCTCCTGTGAAGTCGGCTTGATTTTAGCCAAAAATTCTTGCAGGAGGCAGTTCGATAATTCCTGTCAATGGGGTATGCAAGTGAAGCGTGCTGATAGCCGGTTTGATCTCCATTTTTTAAAACTGTTTTTCAGTCGAAAACTTCGTTCAAAGTTGTCCACTTTTTGGGTTAAATCGACCTAAAAACTTTGGTCTATGTGCAGTTGTGTTGTGGTAACCATAGTGAATGCGACCGGCAATCTTTGATTGCTCTTTGTTTTCTTTTTCAGTACTTTCCAAGCGTCCGGAGTTGACAAGAGTGTGAATTGGGAACTCGTGAAATCAATCTTAAAACACTTTGATCCTTTTCAAAAATCTAGCCACTCATAGGCTAACTGCAGAAGTCTGAATGCACCAGGTGCGTGTTTACAGATGTTCCTCTTTCCTTGGCATCTGCGGACTTGATCGTGGCCACATTTTGACCTTTTCGCCAACAATTGGAATTGCTTCAAAATCAACACTCGGGACTTTTGCGGGCTTGATAAGGTTTGCAGTGCCTTGGGGTATGTCTATGGTGTTCAGTGAATCCACTTTGTCCATATGCCGTTTCTGAAAACAATCAGAAACTGGATGCCAATTGATCACCAGAGTTTTGACGCTGTGGTCATTTTCTGCTTAGAATAACTTTGTCCTAACGCAATTTGTCGGTAATATCGTTCATGACAACCTTGCTGTTCTAGAGGCAGGCTTTCTAGAGTTTCTGAGAGACACTGGCGCATTCTGATAGCTTGTTCTTTAGTATCTTCACCACCAACATAGTCGTCCACGTAGAAGGACTCGCCAATTGCTAGCTTTGTCTATTCATCATCTGTTGTCGGCCCTGTCTGAAAAGACTTCTATGGCGGGAAAGCTACTTGAAGCTATACCGTAGATGGCAGGAGT